CTCACTTTCTCACTCTCACTCTCTTACTCTCTGCCCGCTCTGTTGCCTTTTCTCGCAAGTCCGCCTCACAGTACCGCCCCGCTCCAACCCTCGCCCACAGAAGCGGGTCGCATATTCCACGTGCCGTGACTGCTGGCAGGTTGCTTATTAGCCATGAAGGTTGCCGCAAATGCAAAGCGAACCAGCACGGCAAAAAAATAATAATAAAAATAAAAAAAAAAAAAAAAAAAAGAAAAGGTATCAAAAACATATTTATATATGGAAAAACTCTTTGCTATGACCCCGGCAATTTGCTTGGCAGGCAAGCCAGAAAGCACAAACAGATATTATTTGCCTTTTTGCATATGATCCAAACACGTTTCGTGCCACTCTCTCGCTTTGTCGCGCACTTCCCGCCATTTGGCCAACTTTTGCTGCGGCCCACGTTGCGTATGCGTCACATCAGCTCATCAAATTGCGCATGCGACGCGTTGGCCCACACATATACCATGTCATCTTTAATTGTGTTCTGATTAATATATATTTGAAATATTTATGTTTATCTATTTGAATTTATACTGGAACTGCACCCAATATGAGACTTAAGGCTGTCAACCGAGCTGAAGCACGGAAATGCAAATTTGCTTTTACTTCAAATTGAATCATTGAATACTTATAAAGCTCAAAGTAACAGCCCAAGCTAAGCTTAGCTTAGGCTAACCATATAATTATTTAACAAAACAAAACAAAATATTTGTCTAAAAATAACTCGCATGCATCTAACCCCAGATGATAGAGATAGATGTAGAGTTCCAATTTGGAGGGGGTCTGGACATACAAAGATATCAAACCTGATTTGGCATAATGGATGTGCAGCAAAAAATGAATCAAATAGCATATTTCGCCATACAAATACTCATTTGTCGATCGATTCTATATAATATAGAAGTGCGATCTTGACAAGACTTGGCACATATATAAATATAAATAGTAAATGCCAAGGTTGATCAACATATCTCGATAAAGGAAAAAGTTGTTCCATAAGAACTTCATTTTCGACCGATCGTTTTAATGACAGCTTCATGATAAAGTAGTCCGATGTTGATGGGGATCATGCTGATAGCGATAAATGCCAAGTTTGCTCAAGATATCTTCCTAAAAACAAACAAATTGTGCATTTAAGAAACTTCTATGACATTTTAATTACAAGGAAATAATTGATCGAAAACTTGGTTGTGGTTGGAACTTTTTCAACGATCGTTCCTAATCCAGCTATATGATAAAGTTCTCCGATCTGGTTGGTTCTGATATATGTATTGCCTGCAACAGAAAGATGCAGTTAAGCAAAGTCTCAAAATAGTTGAGAGATAAGTTTGCATTGAAGCGGACGGACGGACATTTATTTATTTATTTACTTATTTATTTAATTATTAATGTTCGACAAAAACGAGTGTCGTCCTAATTATTTATGACAACAAATTATAAAAATTAAATGCTTAAAGCCCAATTAGAATAGTCAATTTTCTAATAGCATCAACGACACGACGAAAGTGTTGTATTTGCACTTCCGTCCAGCTTTGCCCCTTTTTACAGCTAATTTTGCCAGCTGAGACACAGACATGGCTTTAACGTCTCTGCTGTTGATGCTGATCTAGCATATATATATATATATATATATATATACTTTATATATATATATACTTTATGGGCCCGGAGATGTCTCCTTCTATGCATTACGCATTTCATATCAAAATTTTAATACCCTCTACAGGGCCATAAAAAGTGCTATTAATTTTGAACCGGCGACTGCTCGCTGGTTAGTCACATGCGTAAATCAGACGTTTATGGTCGCTTTATGTCTTGAAGCTTTTCATGCGAGCATTTAGCTCCATTTGAAGGTTGAACTGCTGTCTTAATGCTGCCTCAATTCTTTAATAAGTCAGTCAGTCTGTCGGATCAACAGTTTTGTATATATCAATTATATATTGGAGCAAGGCGTTTGCCAATTGTTATTTAAGACTTGCAATATGGCAGAGTTAACTGGTTATGCCGTTCTTTTGTATACATAATGGGGCTAAAGCTGGCCATGTGGCGTCTCACTGTCAACAACAGCAGAAACAGCAGCAGCAGCGATTGTTGTTGACAATGTTGCAGATGTTGTTGATGTGACCTGCCGCAGCAGCAGCAGCAGCAGCAGCAGCAGCAGTTGCAGTTGTGTAAGCGACTGCTTTATGGCAGCAGCAGCTGCTGCTCACACACACACAAGTGTATTAATCACACACACATTTAAAGCAAAAACTGTTACGAAATCAAAAGCAAGAAATAAAAAAGAGCAACTGCTGTGACGAGGACGAAGACGAGAACGAGAACGTGGACATGGATGTGGATGTGGACGAGGACAAGAGCTATGAAAAGCAGGCGGAACAGCCGCACGATTCTCGCTAAATCCGAATTGAAATGTTGCCGCCTCGGCTGGCATTCACAACAACAACACAATAAACTAGCACCAACAACAGCACCAACAATAATACATTAGTTACATTTACAGTTTTGTCAGAGTTCACGAGTTGCCAGCCGATGAGTAGCCGAGTTGAGTTAAAGTCGAGTGTGTGTGTGTGTGTGTGTGTTGTTGCTGCAACGGGGCATTTAGTTAAGTTAGCCATGAAGTGAACTCAACTGAACCGAAACACTCCCGAAATTGAGCCCGAACACGGCAACAACTACAACCAAGCGAGTGTGTGTGCCGTGTGTGTAGTGTGTATGTGTGTGTGCTTCAAGTGGTTTTGTCTGCGCTGGCTTTTGGCTTTAGATTTCTGGCCAATTGTTTGGCATTTTTTGAAGAAGTCGCAACGCCAGCAGACAGCGCGAGTCTGGCCCCAGTCTCAGGACTCGACATCCAGTTCGAGTTAGCCAACTCGTCGGCCCAGTTAACAGCGCGACGACTTCGTGCGTGTGCGTCTGTCTGCCTCTCGCTCGCACTCACTCGCTCTCTCTCTCTCTCTCTCTCTCGCTCTCACACACACACATACACACACTCGCGCCAGCGACTTCGTTGTTGCTGCTGCGGCTGCGGCTGCGACTGCGACTGTTGGCGCTGTGGCATTGTCAACAACGCGCCGCAGAGTTCATACAATTGTGGCACGCGGCGCGTTAAGCACGTGGCTCTGACTGATAACAGTAGTGTGTGGCCGTAGCAGCGGCCGTGTGGCAAGCGAGTGTGGCAGCTAAGCGAGCAACGAACAGTGCAGTGCGATCCGCGATACGTTCAGTCTTCTTCTCGCTTCTTTTTTTTGGCAATTTTTTCCTAAGCAACTAGCAAGTGCTTGTGTGTGTGTGTGTGTTATGTGCGTGTGAGTGTGTGTGGCAAGCCTTATCAATGCACTACCCAACACTGTGATAAACAAGTGGCCTATCACCAAACGAAATTTTTTTCTTTTTGCTTTCTTTAAATGTGCAATATGTGAAAAATGCAGTGAAATATGCATGAACACTCATGTGTGTGCCAGCGCAGCTTCAAACAATATTAATTGACAATAAGTCTGCTTAAAAATAAAATAATTATTTTTAATAATAAAAAAATACAAATTTAATTAAATAACAATTAATGCACAATTTTAAAAGCTTAAAAATAAATAATTAAAAATTATATCAACATTTTGCTAAAAATGAAAATATAGCAAATTTAATAATAATTAAAAACTTAAAAAAATTTAATCAAAAGTAAATAAGCAAGGCATAAATAATAATTCAAACAATTTTACAAAAGTTTTTTAAAGTGTGCGAAATTAATTACAAGCTCGAAAGAGATAAAACATTTTAAAGCAAACATTAAATACTAAATGAGACAATTTTAAAAACTTAATAAAATTAATCATCATTGAATAAAAATTAAAAAAAAATAAAATAAAATAAAATAAAAGTAGGAAATCTTAAATGAGCCGCGAAATATCTGAAACAAAATTTAGCAAAAAATTTATAAATTAATTATAAATTAAATAATTATCACTTTCTCTGAATATATATATTTCAAATATAATAAAAACAATTCAATACAAAATGTGCACTTCAAAATATCTAATTCAAACAAATTTATAAAAATTACTTTTTTGCTAAATATATAAATAAATGATATGATAAAACAACTTAATAAACAATATGCACTTAAAACAAAAAATAAACAAATTGAATCAAAAATGTTTAAATTTAACAAACTAATAAAGAAAAATGTTTGAACATATAATTAAATGAAATGATAAAAATAAATTAAATAAAAAATTTCCACTAAAAAATTAAAATATAATATCAAAAAATTATTAAAAAGTTATTTAAGCAAGAGACGCTAAAAAACTCAAGACTAATTCAAGAATATTAAAATAAAAATAATAAAAACTTTAAATTAAATTAAAAAGAAAAGTGCACAAAGTAACAAACGAAGAATTTATTGTCAACTTATAAATAAAAACTAAACAAAAGATATTATCAACTTTTAAATATAAAAAATAAATAATAGCGACGAAATATTTAAGCAATTTATAAACATTTTGGAAGCACTTAAAAAAACTAGATATTGCTTTTAATTGTTTTGAAAGGCAATTCGTACACCGCGAGAAAAACACGCTCAATATCAATAATTATAAACAAAAAAAAAAGTTCAAAATTTTGCATCAATTGGTTTCAACAAACGCACAACAATGAGTGCAACAAATGGCAGCAACAACAACAATAACAACAGCAGCAGCAGCAACAGCAACAGCAATGGCAACAGCAATGGCAATGAGCGCGAACGGGAGCAACAGCCGCGACCAACAGCAACAGCAACGGCACCAGCAACCAGCAGCAACAGTCGTCAATTTGTTGACATTGCAACAGCGACAACAACAACAACAACAACAGCAGCTGCAGCACGGCCCGCTACAGCGCCAGAGCGCAGCCGAAGCAGCAGCAGCAACAACAACAATAACAACAACATTAGCCTGCCGCTGAGCAGCAGCAGCCAGCACAACAAGAACAACAACAACAGCAATCAGCAACACCAGCCCAGCAACAACAATCACAACAACAGCGAGAGCAGCAACAGCAGCAGCCTTGTGGTCAGCGGCATTGCTGCCACTGGCAACAGCAACAGCAGCAGCAGCAGCAATCAAACGGCTGCAACAATAACACAGAGCAGCAGCAACAACAATCACATCTATGTGAATCCGCACAGCTATGACAGCAACAGCACCACCGGCACCGGCACCGGCAGCGGCAACATTAGCGGCTCTACGGCGATCATGTTGCCGCTGCCGTTGACCTTGCAACTGTTGCCCGACAGCAATCAGAGCAGCAGCAATGGCTTTAGCCTGGGCGCCATCAGTCGGCCGGGCACGACGTCAACGCTCAGCACGCTGAATACATATCTGTTTCCGTGTGGTGCCGACTCGGCCGGCACCATCGGTGGGGGCACCTTCAACGGCAGCGCCAGCTGTGATCTTGACAGCAACTTTAGTCAAATGGTTGCCGGCGGCGGCAGCGAGGCGGGCAGCTCATCCACGCACAGTCCCTGCCCGCTGCCCTTTGGGGCTGGCATCGGCGGCATCGGTGGTGGGGCTGGTGCAGCAGCAGCTGCTGGTGGTGGTCTGGGACTCGCTGTCAACTTTGGCGGCTTCATCAATAAGCGGCGCATACGCAAATTGTTCGGCGTTGGCGGAGCATCCAATGGCGATGGCTTTGGGCCCTATGGCGCAGCGCTGCGGCGGCGCAGCTCGCACCTGGTGCAGTTCCACAAGAAGAAGCAACAGCTGGAGCAATTGGAGCAGCAGCAGCGCATTGCGACAGTTGCCTCGGCGAATGCTGCCTTTTTGGAGCGCCGGGAGCAGCAACAGTTGCAGCAACAGCAGCTGCAGCAGCAGTTGCAGCTGCAACAGCCGGCAATGCTGCAGCTGCAACAGCAGCCGGAAAAGAAGAAGAAAAAGAAGCCACCCGGACCGCCGGCCCAGGTGCGGCAACAGGCATCACGCACCATGGACGATCCACTAATGAATCGGCCGCGCAAGAGCCCGCCGCAGGCCAACAAGAAGAAGGACAAGGAGCGCGACAAGGACAGAGACAGGGACAAGTACAAGGACTATGGCTATGAGAAGTACCCAAAAGCACAAATATATTAGATAACCAAAACAAAATAAAAAAAAACGAAAGACACCTGCCAATTAGCCAGCTGATATATATGTATCTATTGTGCAAATTTTTGGTTTGGTTTCAAGTTTCTCTCTTTGTTGGCTTTTGTGCGACTTTTCATTTCCATTTTTCTTTTTCGGTCTCTTTGGTTCGCAACAATTTGAATAAATGTTCTTCCAAAGCATATCCAATGCGTTTTTCTTTGCTATTTTTTTTTTGTGTACATCTTCTTCCGGCTTTAGCTTGAGCTTCTACTCAGCCCGCGCGCATTCAACACAATTATGAAATATCATCTTAACTTAAACAAGAAAATAATTTGGCTTTGCACAGCTTTTCTATAGAGTTTGTAGTTCTGCTTTGCAAATACATGTGCTTATATTGCAATTAAGAGTTTATTGACAGCGATTAGAGCTGAAACGGTATGATTCGAACCAGCTTGCTGCTTTGGCGTTTTGGTTCGTGAACCTGCTTTAGCACAGACATGCGACCAGGCTTTGGTTCAAGCCTGGGCTTTTCATATATTTTCACATAATTTTAAGACAAATATATTCTCTTTACCCATATTGGGATTCAAGTAAATGGCTGGGGCTCAATTTTGTGCGGAAAAGGGTTGTATGAAAGTTTTTGTTTACGCTGCGAACGGTTTCCGAATCAGTTTCAAATATCCTTGTGATAATGATACGTGTTTCACTTTTTGATACACCGAAATGAACGAAAGTTTATTTTTCGGCTTCGAAACTCTGAACACACGACGAAGTTGGGCGGAAAGTGTTGATGCCAACTTTTTTCTTTAACTGTCTATGTAAAATATAAGTTTGGTCTTGGAATTTAAGATAGTATGGGTGGATTTAAAGTGTCTACGGGTGGGAAAATTGAAGATGGTAAACTCTTCTTTGACTAATATAAAATATCTGAAAAACCAACTCAGAGATCTCCATAAATTTTATTACGCAAATGCTTCGATAGTTGAACAACATAAAGAACTTTGTATACTCTCACCGAACGAGTCTGTTTTGGGTGCAGCTCTTTACTCTCAATGGGGGCATTAACAGTTTGAGCAGCCGGACAACGTGGCGTATGCGTAATGGCAGCGACGGGTTCAACATGCCAAGACCGGAGTCAATGCCCTGTCGCACTGAGACAACGACTCCAAAATGGCCAGTCACTTCCGCCTAATGCCAGTCAGTATTTTTTTTCTCCTGCTTCTTCTTCTACTGCTTGTTTTGCCTCTGACTCTTTGCTCGTTGCTTTTTAGCCAGATTTTGCAGACGGCGCCGTCGGCGTCGCCAAAACTCGCAAAATCGCACAAATTTCCAATTCGTTGCCAGAGTCAGCAGCACAAATAAAATGAATGTGCGTAGTCATCTGTGCGACTAACTGGAGCCGGCATAACTCAAAAGCACACACACATGCAAACACACACACACACACGCACACACACATACACGAAGACAGACACGTGCACAAGCTGTTGGGAAATGCTTCATTACGCATACGCCGTGTTGCATAAGACGAATAATTGTAATTAATATGCATAAATATGTGCGCGTATATATGTGTGTGTGTGTGTGTGTGTGTGTTTGTGTTTGTGTTTGTGCGTGTGAGCGCGCACTTGAGCACGTGATTGTGTGCGTGTGTGCGTGCCATAAGTGCTCAAGGTCAAAGTCATATGCCCACAGAGCACAGGTGCAAATTGTTTTAATGTAATTTGAAGGCTGTCCCAAAAAAATTGTGTTCATTTAATCTATTCCTCAACTAAGACTCGGAGTTTTTCCGAGCTTCGAAGCCAATTAAGAATTGTGCAATATGTTATTTAGATATTTTATAAACTTGTATTATGCATTTGCTTTTTATATTTAAAACATCAAAGCTGTTTGAGAAATCGTTCAAAGGCTTTACAGGCTAGTGCCCGACTAGGGGATACCCTGAACCTTCTTCTACCGACAACAAATGCAGCTCAGCTCAGACCGTACCTAGAAAATAAAATATACTTGATCTGTATTTACTATTCTCGAGGCTACATATCAAATTTGGTGAGTCGAGCCCTTAAAACCCAAGAGATCTGCTCAAGAAACAGAATTTCTACATCGACTTGAATCAATTGCTAGAAAACGGAGCAAGTTATCGATTATTGGAACTCTTACTGCTCGGGCACTAGGGAGACCTTTATTCAATTCTCAGCTCTTAGAGGCTCTGAGATCGATGCTTTCATACTTATGGACAGACAGACGGACATCATCGACTCGGCTCTTGATTCTGACCAAGAATATATACACTCTTTTGGGTCGGATATGCCTTATTCTGCTTGTTACATACATATGCACAAAACTAATATACCCTTTTAGTTCATTCAATGGGGACAGAGATAAAAATAAAGGGGAATGAAAATCAAATACCCTACTACGTACATTTTGCCTGGAAAGCAAATTTAACCCTATATCAAATCATTGTTTCCGATTGTTCCTATGAGAAGCATGTGATATTGATGCAGAAGCAACCTGCCTTATCAACCCGACTGCTGATGCCCTTCCAGAGAAGGTGTATTGCTCAGCTCATACGAACTTCTTCTATGCGGTGCACACTGCTTGACAAAATTAACATGCCCTCGCACAAGTGTAAGAAAGTATTCGCACGTTACGTGACAGAAAGGGAATTGGTTTTTTGCCTGCATAGAATGTATTTTTGTAACAGCTGAAATAAAGCTACTCCAAATGCATAATTGTGTCGTGATTTGTTTTTTTTCTTTTTGTTTATTATTTTTGGTTTTTTGTTGTAGCCCCAAAACTGTGCTTCACGTGCCTAACGTTTCGTGACATATTTTTGTGTTCATATTTTACTCGTGATTTTTTTTTGGCTTACATCAATTTGTTATTTTGTTCAAATGTCAAAAAACATTTGATACGCGATTCTAATGTTGCAGTAATTTGTTTAATAATTTAATGTATTATTAAGCTAGATTTTTAAGTTGGGGGAAACTGTTCTGGTTTTAAGGTTCAGGTAAACACGGATATAGGTAATGCTTAAGAATTTAAGCGAGCTTTCACTGCAATAATTGCTATCGATTGTGTTAATGTTATTGAAGTTTTTATTTGCATGCCCTTCTAGAGGGTATTATCATTTTTTCAGCAAACATGTAACACATAGAAGACGATATTTCCCGCCCATATATTCTTTATTCTTTCTTCTTGAGCTGTCGGTTCTATATAGCCAGATGCGTATGGAGCTCAGTTCTGTTTCAGACCCGATCGAAGTACTGTATCATATAGCATACCATCAAAAGAGTGTGTCAAAAAAATGAGTTCTTGTTTCTCCATAAATCTTGACCAGAGTCAACAATTAGGTGCTTCACCATTTGAAAAATCCTAACTCCCATGCTCAATCGATTGGCAATAAAGCATTGTTCAGTCGAATCTCTTGAAAGTGTATTCAATCTGCGACATGCCAAAGTTGTCTCATTTTCCTTGTTATTACCCAAGCTGCTGGGCAAAGGCTTTCCCTTTACATACTCACCCGAAGCCTGCCCTGCCCTGCCTGCCGTTTTTCCTGTCGATTTTTAGCATTTTCTCTTGCAATAAGTTTCCCTAACTTTTCATCCGGCAGCTGAATTCGATTTTCGCATTAAGCGAAATAATTTGCCTCGTTGCGGCGTTGAATGCCATTTTCTTGGCCATTTTCCTGCGCTTTTCTACGCATGTATATGCATGTGTGCGTGTGTGTGTGTGTGTGTACATATTTTCTTTTTAATGCTATGTAGCTTATTTCGTATTTATGTAATGTGGCACACGAGCGACAACAGCAACAACAGCAACAAAATTGTAGAGCTGAGCAAAAGAAATAAAATGAAAATAAATGGAAAATATTGCGAGAAAATTGCTTTAATATGCCTTGCGTGTGCATGTGTGTGTGTGTGTGTGTGTTGTGTGTTGCCTTTGTGTTGTGTGTCGCGTGTGTTGTTTGCCCTTTGCATTGTGTATATGTTTTTGTTGTTGTTGTTGTTGTTGTTGTAGCTGCTTTGTTTTTGCGCGTTTCTTGGCCGCTTCCGTTGCTGCCATTTGATTTGGCCAACCAGAATTTATGTCAATGCCACAGCAACAACAACGGCAACAACAGCAACAACAACAATAATAACAACAGCCGGCAACCAACAATAGCTAACATATCACGTGTGTGTGTGTGTGTGTGCAGACATGCAAAACAAAGTCAAACTCCGAATTGTGTTTCGCGTCTGGCGAACATTACTCTGTAGTTTAAGTTAATTGGCAACGCCAACACAGCCAGCTACGCCTACAACGCCCACACACATACAGGGGCAGAGCAAAGGGTACGTCGGTCCGCGAGGAGGGGAGGGGGGGGGGGGCTGTTGCTGCTGACCCCCGGCAAACTTCAGGCGACAAAGAATCCGAAAAAAAGAGAAAGAGAAAACCATGCGACGCGACTTGAAGCCGCCATTTGAATGGCCCGGCAACTCATACGCCCACCGCGACCTCGCCCATTTGTTGTGGGGAGTAGTGGGCGGGCCTGGGCTGGGTGGGTTCTGTGTGTTGGTTGTGGGGCAGCGGCAACATGGGCCAAGTGCCCTTGATTTGTGTGCACGGCATGTGGCGGCGTGTTGACTATTTGCATTGCATGTCAGCGGCGCAGCGTGTGTGCCATTATGAGTGTGTGCCACTGTGTGTGTGTGTGTGTGTGTGTGCGAGTATGCAATAGAGTGCTTATGTGTGCGTGAGTGTGTCCATGTGTATGTCCAATAATTTCGTAACATGGCCTTTGTGGCGATCTTTGTGGTGCGATAAGCAGCAAAGCCAAGCTAAAACAAAACAAAAAAAAAACAAATGCAACTGAATGACCGACTAAGAGATACCCTGTTAGACTGCGCAGCCAGCCTCAGCTGAGCTTCAAGCCAACCAGCTCTAGCTCC